CTTGAATTGCTGTTGTGCAAGGCACTTAACTCCCTATGCCTGCCCATGTGCCTGTGAGAGTATGCATGTGTGAAGATTGTAAGAGCAACTGGGTAAATGTGACTAATGTAAAACAACTTAGTGTCCTGTATGACTGAAGAAATATATGTAAGTCAAGTTCATTTACAACTGATAGGCCTAAAAAGAAGTGTTGCAAGATAGTTATGTTTTATCCAATAAGTGAATTTAATTTATGGTACATAATGAAGCATTGTTGCTAAGGTATTATGATGTTGTAAGATATATTTTTCACATACTCAAATTGAGGGTTAAAAAAAAATCTAAATAGTTCAGGCCGTCTTTTGCCAAAGAGGTATTGCTTTTGAAATGAGGGTTTCAACATAACATTGCCAACCACATCACTAGACAAGCACCACCGGTTCATTATCAACAAGATTATTGTCATAGAGTAGTAAGCACAATCCTCTGTCACTAATCACATTAAAAAACATGCTGTTTCTGAGTAATAACCAAAATACAGAAGAACTTTAGAAGCAGGTAATTGGAAGTTGGTTGACTAGGATCAGCTAAATCCCTGTGATCTGCTGAAATAGTTTAACAGATCACATGGAATAAAAATCTCCAAGCTTTTTTGGTTTCTATAGTATGTAAAGAGCAGGGTTCTCATGATCGGTTTAAGGAATCTGACCCACATGCAGAGAAACCACTCAGAGAACACGGGGAAAAGCTTATCAGGTTTATTTGATGAAATGTAAACAGAGGTTGGTGGTTGAATTTAGTGAACTGTTGAACCGGAACTGGAAAGTCTGAAGGGGAGATCACTGAGATAAGTTCAGGGACCGTGGGAAATGAGACTGCGGCTTGAACTATGCTGGAGAGGGACTCACGTTTGAGGGGGCTCTTGTCAATTCTTGAATCCAGTCTGTGTGGGATTATCCAGTGAAGAGGGAAATCATTGGAGAGCGGACAGGTAGACTTACGTTTGACCCAGAGGAGTAATGGAGCGGACTGTCACTTGGTTTTCCGATGGGGGCTTGAACAGATCATATGGAGGTTTTTCCCTGCTCAGTGTAAACTCAGTAAATCCTTCCAGGGGGAGAAGGTCCAGGTATCCAGTTTTTACAGGAAGGCTTCCTGCCGAAGAGCAAAGACAAAAACTCATTAGACTCAGCTAATCTGGCGTCGAGGTAGTCACAGCCCACTGCTCAAATACTCTTCCAGTAATGAACCAACGAGCCGCAGGTGTGCAGGGAGGCCCAACGAGGACAGGGCACCACCTGGTGGTGGAGAGAGAAGAAACAAACAAACAACCCACACAAACTGGTTTCCTAACAAGGGTGATATTAAACATAAATTAACTGGATAAAAATAGAAAAAAATATACAGCGAAAATATCAGATGCAGTCCAATCAAGCTTTGCTTGAAAACCTGTTCACAAGCACAAGAGTTAGGGTCAGTTCAATGCTGCAGGGATGTTTATTTTTCTTTGGTAAATGTTTGGATTTTGGTGTAGAATATCTTTAATTTATGATTAATTCCATTTGCATGTGTGGAAATTAAGGCTTTATGTGAAATTTGGGTTTAACTCACATATTAAAATGATCAACTATTATTTGATTTTGAACTGTACAGAAACAGAAATTTCCTTAAATCCCTTCTATAAACTCACTCAAAGTCATGTCCTTTCTCTGTCCAGTTGTAGTTTGTATTCTAACAGCTTTTGTCTGGAAGAGAAAGTTATCGAGATAAAAAAAAAGAATAGGTAACAACAAGAGATGGAGAAAAAACAGTATGGATTTTTCTTGGTGCAATGTCTTGTTTAAAGTTAAAGGTCAACTTTGTAGGTATTTACCATAAAGAGTGAGGGCTAGAGAGAGCAAGTAGTAAAGCAGAAGATGAGTAATGAGTTAAACCAAAGAATAGGTGGAGAAAGAGAGGAACAGTTGGCATATCTTCCTGTATCAAACTCGGGATGTGGATCAATAATCCCAGCTCTCATCTAACGAGACGCTTTCCCCTCCCTGCCTGTGTTCAGTTGGTGTGTCCAGCAAAGGAAGCTGTGGGAGAAGGCCATCAGCGGGTCATCAGTATTCCAGCAGGCTCTGCCTACTCTGGTGTGGGCTGAAGAATAATTTCATTCTGATCTTACAGATCAATAGCTGTACCCACTGGAAGGCGACCAGCCCCGCCTGGCTGAGCTGATCTGAGCTGCTGCAGTATTCAGAGCCACACATGCATGGGTTGGTGCTTTTTCAGATTTTGGTTCTATTAGTTTAACCTACAGCACAGCTTCCAGACTGGATCCCATTGTAAATACCAGGAGAATATCTACACAGATATTTATATTTGAAGAAAACATTGCAGCCTCTTTATATTTTTAGAACAAAGGTTAAAACTTACTAAAGTAAAAAAATAAAAAACAGCCATAGAAATGGTATTATATACAGTATATAATTAAAATGGCTTTTCAATATGTTCTGTCCTTGTAAAGCATTTCATTTTGAACATTTGTACTGAGTCATAGAATCAATGAGTCAGCTCACGGGGGTGGGGAAGATATTTAATAAACCTGGACCTTTCTTGGACTCTCATCTTTTGTCCTGTTATAAGTACTGACATTACAGTTATTAATTGTTAAAGACAATGGTATTTATGTTTTGACTAGTTAAAAATTATGCTTATTACTCAATAAATGTAGTTTATATAATGTTACAGGTTAAAGATATTATTTCATAAATGAAATGGTTAACTAGTTAATTATGCACTTGTGATTAATTACTGTGATTTATTCAGTTCATATAATTTCTTCTGCACCTTTAAGCAGCTCAGATGTTAAGCATGAACAGATGAAAGAGAAGAGGGAAGTCTACATTTGCACTTTTGTCATGTTTACCTACAGTAGTTTATTGAGCAACACCTTTTGGTCTGTAGAACTGTAGAACTATAGTGTAGGACCATCTGTGATCATTAACTATTTTAAGATTAAGTGCTTTGTCTTTGACTAAGCTCACAGAGAGCCCATTTCACATTACCAGATTATTAAACAAGTTATTTTTTTAGTTGTGAAATAAAAATATAGAGTAGAAATTAATGCATTTTTCATGTATATCGCAAAGATGGGATTTACTTTGCCGGCGGTGGTGGGGGGGTAAAAATATACTGAATAGATCAGACTTTTTATGAGGGTGATTACCCACTGAACCCCCTGTAAATTGATCTTGGTGTTATTATAACACTGTCAAGATAAAGTTTCATCATGAAGAAAAAAACCCTCTTATATTTACAGTATGAAGGCGAAGATTACCACATATCTTTTTTTGTAACAAGTCTTTTCTTTATTTCCTCTTTATTTGATATTGGTATTACCCACAGTTTTTTTTCACCAAAAAACAAATGTGAATTTAGACATTTCGAATAGCCTAATCAATCTTATTGAGGCAGTAATAAAAACACTATTACAGCTCTTTACTATTTCTAAGGTCCACAATTGTGTGACTATTTATTTTCTGTAATCTTCTCTATTTTCTCTCTATTATTTTTCAAAAAATATGGTATAAACAGTTTTCATTTTCACACCCGCCGCAAAATAATTTTTTTTAATGCATTTTTTATTATTGATTTTTCCCCCCTGCTTTTTGAGATATTTTAGAGTCTACTTAATTTCTTCATTAGGCTTCTGGTTAGGTTTGTTCTTGATTATATATGTCTAGCAGTAAAAACAGACCTGAGTGTGCATAAAAAAGTTTAGAAATGCTTTGCTTTGGAAAGCATTTGGAAACTGATCCTTGCATTAACCTTGCTTAAATGTGGCAAAACTACTTTTTCTTTTTAGTGTGAGAAACTCCCAGTATCTGATTTCTAGTCATACCTTCTTTTCTCATTAGGTCTTGGTAAGTTTCTATCCTCTCTCCCAGCCGTGACATGAACACTGTTGGGAATGTTGGGTAGATACACCACAGGAGTGAAGTGGTGACAGACAATCAATAGAGATCTAGTGATTAGGATATCACACTCTAGAGGGAGTTAATGCATATGTGTAAGCGCCATACGTGGGTCTGCAGCACATCCTTCACCTGCTGCTCTAATCTCAATCAGCTCACAGTTCTTCTGATATCATACCAGGAAGTCGGTTTACACCCTGATTTCGTTCCTTGATATATAGAGATTTTTATTCCTCCATCTATTTGATTCTCTGTTAATTGCTCACCCCAATGAGCCCACCTTAGATGGCACGGCGCCATAAAAATAACCCAGGCAGGGTTCTCCTTTTCCTTTTTCTTTGCCAGGCCAGTGACTGTTTGTAGGCACGATCGATAGAAATCAGGGATCCACACCTGGAGACTTTGTGACCCTGATTGAGAGTCCACTTGCCAGAGACACAAACCCAGCACCTCATTAAACTCAAAACTCCCATCACTGCCATTACACACAAGCCTGGCCCTCTGGGCCTGACGCGGCTGCGCTGATGAAGATCACCAGAGCTTTAATGGAGGAAGACTCTAATTGCAGCATGATAATACGGCGCTTCTGTTATCCCTGCTGCTTCGACAACAATTCAATTGGTGCAGCACTGTGAAATGCATTGAAATGAGGGGGGGCTTGGATGACTTATGGCGGGTTAAACTACCATATTGATTTAGTCATATTACTAATACAGCACCAGATTGGCTGTTGGGGACAGTGATTTTGCTTTGCTGTTTGTCGCGCCTCTTTAGTCTTCTCTCAGTGTCACCCCCGTAGGAATCTTGTGAATGGATCTTTGGCGATCTCAGGCGATGACTCCTTCAATCAGCCTCTTCACTTCCATTTCCTTTCCCCTCCCACTTCCTCCTGTACACTTTGTAGCCTCAAATCTGCCGTCTCTTCCTGTCCAGCCCCCTTCTTCTTTTTTTCCCCCCTCTTGGCTCTTTCCTTTGCCTTCCTGCCTTTTCTTCTCAAGTGTCCTATTTGGCTATAATGACCTTGCTGACTGTTTTTTTCCTCCTCCTCTTGCTCTGCAGGTACCACCAGGCAGCCTAAAGAGGGGGAGGTGCCAGGGGTGGACTACAATTTCGTGAGCGTGGAGCGTTTTATGGAATTGGAGCAAAGTGGAGCCCTGCTAGAGAGTGGAACCTATGAAGGTGAGCACTGACAAGATCAGCACAGGTGTTTTTTATTAGGAGGAATGCACCTGTCAGCAGAGCCATTTTTCTCTTTCTTAATTTGTCTGGTGATATACGGATATCTTTACTTGATTAATCAGATGTGTCAGGTGATGTTGTTCTACACAGCTCTACTAAACAAACTGAGGCTTCAGTATTATAGCTTTTTATGTCATTGTAGGGAACGTGTGTGTCTGTGTTAACTGAAGTAATGCCAGTTGCACGTCATGTCAAGTCTGCATATCTGCCTTGCTACACTGTCAGAAATACATCTACAGATGGAGAATTTGCTGGTTCATTTGCCCAGAAGAAATTTTTAAAGCGAGGGCGGCCGAGCACACTCACATAAAAATTGTGTGTAAATGTGCATGTGAAGAGGCTACAGGCATCAGTATGGTCATGTGTGCCTTCCCTTCTACACATGTTTCCATCACAGTTGCTTGCCTCTTTCTTTTTTTTGCTACGAAGTACGTTTCCCCTTGACAGGGAGCTTAGTTGTGCCCGATGGGGGAAGCAGTCTCTTTCTGGGTGGCTGCACTGGAGGTGCCGCAACTCATTTTGTGATTTAGATTGAATTAAGAAATGGGTAACATAGAGGGCGGGGGATTTGAGGTAAGAAAATTAAAATGAAAAGGGTTCTTTATTAGTAATTGAGTAAAATCAAAGTAGGTTAAATCAATATATATTAATTTGTTTTTATACACTCGTCATCTAAATTAATTTAATGGTAATTTTGGGGTTTTATTGATGCATTTTTAGTGTTTACATATCCAGGCTGGGATGAAACCTAGATTCTTAGTAAATTTTAAATTAGGAACTGGATCATGTAACAAGTTGCAGGGAAACCACGAATTGTTGAAAACACCAGCTAGCTTTTAGATGATTCCAATCAATTAGTCAAAGATCTGATTTTCACTTCATCAATTCTGATCTGTTGATTGGAAGGTAGAATACATCAACATTTGAAAACGCAGGTTATCCAATGCATCAAAATGTAAACATCCACAATTTTACAATCTTTTTACAAATCAACCAATATTATTGCACTTTATTGCCTTTTTTAATGGCTATTATATAAGGAATGGTAATAGTTTTGCAACTTTATGATTTCCTTTTGGATTAAAACTACAGCCTGTATTAAATAACCTATACGGCATTTGTTTTTACCATTAGTTGTTTTGGATCTAAGATGATATGTAATCAGTCAAGCTCAAGATTGTCAGGTCAGACATAGAAAATTGAAACAGAAAATGGTTTGGGCCAGTAAAATCTCTGCTAACTCTCAAATGTTGCAGCTCATACTGTATAATGGTTGGTTTTTCTTTCACAGATTTGGCACTGAGAAAAATTTCCAGATTGTTTATATTAATAGGCTTTAAGTCTAGACCACACCAGAAAACCAATGTTCGCTCCTTTATCCAGTCTAAAACCAGTTCTGATCTTTGTTTTGGGCCATTGTCCTGTTGGAACGCTCAAACATTTACGTTTCTATTTAGATTAGTCAAAGCTTTGATATTAATAGTCTTTTTCATTTTCTCTACCAACGTTTGTACAGCAAATTCATAATGGGTGATATTAAAATCAAAATAAGCTTTAGTTGTCATAATACTAAATTGACATTTGTTTGTTGATTTTTAATCAAGTCTTGTTTTTTCACTGTTTCTAGACTTAAAGTTGCAGATCAACAAAAAAAAATGTTGTTAATTGATTCCATAACTTTCAGCAGTAGACTAGAAAAAGAGCAGATTTAAAAAAAAGAATACAAATCAAAGCTGAAGAACCACAATTCCATCTCTTATTTGGGGTTTAGAAAAAAAAGCAATCAAACTTTTGCAAAAAGTGAAGAAGTACATTGTCGCTAAAGGTTCCATACTTGGTGAAAAAAAAAAAACACTATAAATTATGACCTAAATGAAATAAAAAGGAAAATAATAGATAATAAAATAATAATCCATGCATCATTCCTTCATTGGTTTTCAAACTAAGAACAATAAATATAGTTTCTAAGTTTTAGTTTTTTCAGAAAATAATTTTCTTTTATAATATGTATATAATATTATAGTTATAATATTATAGTTTTTCTAATTGTTTTCATTTGAAAACACATACATCTGTTAAAACTATCTTACTGTTGCCTTAACATATGAAAAGACTGTTCAGTTTTGTTGCCTTTTTTTCCCACTAGCCACAGGCTGCAGCAGGCTGATATAGGTGGCTATAGTTTTTTAGGGCATTCTTTATAAATCAGATAACTCCCTGATTAAATTAAAAAGTATGTGCACTCTGTTCCTGATTTTAATACCCCTGAATTATTATGTATCTCCACCCCATCTAGGGGGGTAAGAAATAAGTTAGAAACCCAAAATATTGAGTTTTATGAGGCTGATGAGTTTATGTGGACTTCTGATCTCCACTTTACTTTTTCAAAATTTTGTTTTACATGTTAAACTATTAAACATCGCTTTTTTATTTTCAAAATTAGACGTTTTATACTGTTACCTCATGAGTGCTTTAAGAAAGAGCTGTACAAACTGCCTCCTTTGTTTAACTTCACTGGTAGAGTTGCATCACAAAGCCCTTTAAGGTTTACAAAAGCTACTTGAATGAAAGATGTCTGAGCGTTAAAATCTTCAACATTTCCTAACAGATTCTGTCCCTAGTTTTATAACCTCCACCAAAAAAACAAGCAAACAAACTGGTTCTGGCTGCCTCCATTTAAATATCACTCGATACGTAAAATTATAAGTCTTTTTTAAACATTTGTGTGGATATGCCCCCAGGAAGAGGTTTACTGGGATTCTGAGATTATTTTGTAGCTGTTAAATAGCCACTATGTTAGATTATAACCACACTATTAGTTTTATTTAGGATCGTATGAAGTCTAGATCAAGCAAGAAATAGCATATAGTTTAAAGTATTTTACAAAACAGGTCTAAAATGCTAAAGAATATTATTGTATTATTTTTCAGGTTTAAAAATCAATTAAAGAGACCAGATTGAGACATAAAGTCTTACATTTTGCAAGATAGCAATTAGTGTGATTTCGAAGCAAGACTTTGTATACGTCAGAGCTACACGCGCAATTTGATGAGTCATTGCTCATATCTGTACAAAAGATGCAGAGCAGAGGCCTTAGTCAACAAAAGATGAGCGCTCTCCCCTGAAACTGCTGAGGTGCTTCAGCAGGAACGGATCTGAATCAGTGTTCTTTATGTTCTCTAAAGCCTCTCTTCTGTTTAGCTATGAGATTTCACAGGTGGGTTCTCCATGCCTTTTCTCTGCGTCATCCTTGAGTCTATGTTTACCTCAGCCTGTGCGCTAACATTAAACAGTTTAAGAGCATTGAGGTGAATGCACTTTCTGACAAAATGGAAGCTTCAGCAAAGCTTCTATGTTTCCTCTTCTTGGTCATTAATGCTGATCCCCTTCTTGTCTGAGTTCTGCTTCTTTCTTTTTTGCTTCTATTTTGGCTGCAACTTCCTAAATGCATTTTTCCCCAAGAGCATCATCCATTTATTACATGGCTTAATAGAGATGTAAAAATCCAGAGTTCAGAGTGCAGAAATGCTAGTAGTGCCAGACTGAGATAATGTGAGAATAAAACCAGGTACCTGAACTGAGAATTTACTTCTCCGAGATCTTTTCCAGACTTCTTCATCTTCCGCAGTGGCACTAATTCTGGCATAAACCAATTTCGTGTCTTCCACGAGTTTACAGATGGCGTCTCTTGACTCAGGCTAATGAGTAAAAACAGCTTGTGTTCCCTCTTTGTGACGAGCCCTCAAAGACCAACCTGCTTTGAAGGATTACTAAAAAGGGATTATAAAACAAGACATTTGGGCTCTTGCCCACAAGAAACACAATAAATTGTGCTAGTATCCGAACCTGCAGGAAAACGGCTGAATGTCTCTGCATCATTTCTTATATTCATTGTGCATGTTTTAAGAGTTTAATTCTTAGTGCTGAAAAAAAGGGTATTTAGAAGGTTTCGGCTGTGTTTGCTTTGTTTTTAAGTTTAGTCATCAAACACATTTTAGTGTCAGACAGAAGATCCAGAGTATGTATAAAATAGAGTTTTCATTTGAGGATTAGCTTAAATGACCTGGTGCAATGTGGAAACGTAGGAAAAGTAGCACCAGACAAACTCGTCACTTATGGAAAATAAAACCTGCAGTGCTGTTTGGGTTTGTTTGTGACTCTTAGATCATAGATTGTCCACTTTGGATGGTTCACAAAGTTTTATGATGTTTTCGTCATTTGTAGGGCGTTGCTCTCACTCTCAAGCATAAAAGAAGGATTTATAACCATTTCCAGATTGGCTGTCAGTTAGTTAAACAAAAAGGGCTTCACAGGTTTACAAAACAAAGAAATAAAAACATTAAAATCATTAAAATAGGCAATAAGTACAACGTCTACTGTAAAACTCATAGAACGAAAGCAGTTAAAAAGAATAATTAAGATCTTTGTCAGAAACGTCCAAGTTATTGCTTTATTTTACTGGTCTTTCCTTAATCAGATCTGTGTTTTGTGTGAAATCCAGCTATTATTTCCAATAAATGTTGTTAATCACAGGTCAACAATCACAATATATTAGAGCCATAGTGGCTATTGAAAAAGTTATTGTACCATCACATACACATTTACTCATCAGCAGATTTTCCATTACAACACATCATGTTGCTTTTGAATTTTGATTTTTAAGTAGCAGAATCATGTTCTATGCCTATGTAAAAGCTACATAAAACGAGTTGATTATAAGGTTATAGATAGCGATCGTCCATCCTGATGGTGTTTGGTAAGTTTTTATTTTTTTTAAAGAATTCCTGGAAAAGATGCGATGTGCAGACATAAACAGACTTATGCGCCATCTGCCAGCAGTACACCAACTATCAGAAGGCCAGATGGGGACAGTTGGCACAGCTTTAGCGCCTAGTCGTCCCGCAGTGCCTCATGGTAAAGATACAGCTCGGTGTGGTTGAAGACCAACCTGACCAACAGCAACTTTGAGTTCTCTTTAAAGCCTCCTAGCAGAATAATCATTGGCTAATACAGCTTCAATGGAATGACGCAAATGTATCATATGAACAATGCAAGTTATCATTAAGCAAATTGTTGATTAGACCTATTTCATCTGATTTTGAGTAGTCTTCTGGATTCTAGCAACTGTCACTACAAATTACAAACATATTTCAGAAAAAATATAATGAGACTATTCCCCTTTAGTCTTTCATTTTTTTGTGTCTTTTCTTCTTTTTATTTTGTTCAAGACAGTCATGACACCTGCACTAATTATCATTTACAAACCACACCCCTATTCATAGCTAAGTTTTCATGTAATGTAAATCCCTTTATTGTCCCACAATGGGGAAATTTACTCTCTGCATTTAACCAATCCCCTTGTGAAGCAGTGGGCTGCCATTGTGTGGCGCCCGGGGATCAATGTGGGGCTAAGAGTCTTGCTCAGGAACCCAGAGTGCAGGTTGGTGCAGGCTGTGGGGATTGAACCGGGTATTTGCAACCTTCTCAGGGCACAAGTGCTCTGCTCTAACCACTAAGCCAACACATGACTTTGCACATAAAATATCTGAGTACAACTTAGCAACAGGTACTTTTCTCATATTTTAAAGCGCCATTATTTTGACTCTAATTTCAAAACAGAAGAACTGTTACTTTATTTATTATTGTCATGGTCAAAGTGCATACCTGCAACTACATAATGACATTTACTGGTTTACACAATCTGAGACACAGAGTGGGATTTTACCTCTTGTCCTAATTGGTGTACTCAGAATGTCCTTTCCTTTTGTTTAAATAACATTTAGCTTTTAAACCAGAGGAGAATTGTCTTTTACACTTTATGTAAGATGTTTTCATGCAAAAGAAGCACAAAGGAAATTCCTAGAAAATCCTCCTTGAGGATCAATCAGAGGGGTGGTCTTAAAAAAACAAAACAAAATCACAATAATGGCATATTTAATCATAAATATGTGTGAGTGAGTTTGAATCATAATGGGTCAGCCTTGCTCGTGTTGTGTTTTGTTAATGTGCTCTTGTTTGAATGTTTGACCACTTTAACCTTTAAGGATAGAATAACAACTGGGATGGTTATTTTAAATGTTGAAAAACACCATAATAAGTAATTAAAATGCAAATTAAATGCAAACACAATTTTAAAAACAAACCATTTAAACCATTTGTAAGTGGTCAGTCAAATATTGGAACACTTTTTCTTCTAGCTCTGTGTTAAGCTTATTTTATTTTTACCCCATTCCCAGTAACATCTCTTTCATGTAACCTGTGGTTTTATAGGCTTGGATTTGTAGATAAGAGGGCACAATAATAAGCTGTTTTCCTATGAAATAATAGCTGTTTTATATATTTTAATGCTTTGAATCTTTTGATGGTTTAGCTTTTACGCTCTCATTAATCTGTGGTTGTCCGCGTGTAAGAGACTTTTTGAGAGCTCAACATACAAAACCACTCAGAATACTTTAATATAACAAGAAACATTAAAGTAGGAGCAAGGGCAGACTTTTTTGTTGCCCATTTGTGAAGATAAGTTAAAAAAAATGCTGCTGTTTTTTGTTTTGTTTTTATCAAGCAAGATCTCAAGTGGTTTTCAAGAGCCACTATAAAACCCACACATGATCTGTATGCTGCTTTTTAACCTCGTATTGCAATAACACACATATTGTTTGCATAAAGAAGATGAAGATATAATTTCATCTAATTTAAAAAGTGATTTGCAGTCATCAGGATCCCAAATCATTGCATATTCCTATAAGTTAAGAGGAAAAGTAGCTGACAGCAGCCAATCATAAACAAGTTAAACACATGTAGTGATAAAATATTGACTGTTTGCTTGTTTGTAGCATACAGGTATGTGTTAAAACAATTTGCTTGAAGAATGAAGACATCAACCATGTTGTTGGGGAAGTTGCAATGCCAATTCCATACAATGGGAACACATTCATTGCAAAGAAAGACAAATCATAAGTGAAAAACAATTTTAAATGGCTGTTACTCTTGGATGAAGAGCACATCCCATCAACTTTATTCAACAGTCAGACTGTTCATTTTTAAGATACGCAAAATATAGCATGTCAAGACAAACACTTAGCACTCGAGCATGACCTAAGCTTTGAACTTCCAGTATATCAAATTATTCAAGGCTCCAGTGGATGAAAGCAGAAAAACTCCAAAACAGGAGCAAATATTATTGTTGTTTTGGTCAAGACAAATTCTAAACCTCAACAAGGCTGAGATGCTTAAAAGTGTTGCGTGTTCTTGGAAACATACAGTTTACCCCAGAGCCATAGAAATAATACAGTTCTGAATACTCCATTGGTGACAATGGGTGAAATTTCAATGAGTTATTGTGACGAACAGAGCTTAAATAGTTCGAAGGAAGTTAGGCGCTCATGCTAGCATTGCCATAGCCATTAGTAAACCCTGCTAAAGTGCAGACAACAGATCTTAAATATCCTATCATGCATCTGCTTCTACCTAGCAATAGGTAAAAATAATATAAGAATAAGAATATGTTTGAGATGATAAAAAGGACAGCTTGTTAAATTCATAGTTATACATAGTACAATGAATATAATAAATACAAATGTAAAGAGGGAAGTATTTGTAAGACTACATCCACTTACTGTATGTGTAACACATTTTCACGTTAGCAGGAAATGATTTGATAGGTTGCTCTATTCGTCTTTGGTTATATTAACAAAACGTTAACATCTATAAATGTTAGAGATGAGTAAAGTGAGTATGATTGAAACAGGCTCTTCATTAACCCTTTATAGGGTACTCAGTGAAATACCTTGAAAATCTAAATTTCAAGCCAATAGTATTATTAGAATCCAGGACAAGATCTTTTTAACCTTTGTAACATAAAAAAATTGACATTTTGATGGCAAAAATTAATATCAATGTAATAACAAGAAACGCCAACATGCCTGAAAATATTAAGAAAAATAACAAAAGTAAAATGTAATTGTTATCTAGGCTTATTAACTTTTTAACTTTTTCAATTAGCTTTTTACCTTTTTTTCCCCAACTAAATTTACAGTAGGTAATATACAGTATCTTTCAATGGCTCATCTAATTGGTCAAATGCCAAAGTAAGATGTGCAGCCATGTAGCAGTATCTTTGCTGAATGGCTGGTTATAGATCTTGTTCTTCTAGACCTCGCTGAGGGATGGGGGGACTCCATTATTTTAATTTTAAATGGTAACTTCTCAAACAGTAAGCTTTTTTTGTAATGGTAGTATATTTTGTGAAATAAGTAATTAATAATTAATGTGTCTCACAACCTGCATTTTGAATGGGCTGAACTAATGGATGCACTAGCAAACTACTGTAACTTGCTTGCTCTTCCAGTGGCGCGACTCTCATATCTCCATGGCTCTGGTTTATCTCAGACTTACCACCTCCTCCAGCATATTTAGATGAGAAATTATTTCCGTTGAATCGATAAGTTTATGTCTGACTGAAAATGATGCAGGGATCTTACAAGAGAACAGATCATTTTATAAACATAATTAGCATTTTGCTTGTGTTTTATTTTATTTAAAAATAAGGATTATTAACCTTTCAACCTATACTTGCTGAACAGGTTTTCCACTTCCAAATGTGATATATGTATGAATAAAAGAGTCAAACATGTCTGTAAATGTTAAACCTAGATTTGCAGGTGTATGAATAATTTAGAACTTAACTGCGTATGTTTTCATGTCTGCATCTTCTGCTGAACTGGAACTCTCCCACAATTTCTTTTTGGGGCTTGATCTGCTGTTTGGGATGCTAATTACGTTAAGCAACATCCACCCCAACTTCAATTTTCATGTTTTCCCTCCTTCTAACACTGTGATAATCACTCCCCAACCATGCTTTGCCAGATCTGTCCAAAGCAACAGTTACAAGGAAAATTCAGATTAATTAAGAGGAGCAGACAGCTGGTTTGGGCTTTAAGAGGCAAACTACTGAATCAAATAATTTAGCTCAGCAGTGATGCAAAAGTTGTATTTAACCCAGTGGTACTTCCAAAAATAACAGTGTGCTACTTGACAGTGAATTGATCCACTAAAACAAAACTCTAAAGCATATTAGTTCAAAAATCCATTTCTAAATTATCTGCTTTTTCTTCAAATGAAAAGTTGATAATACTTAACAGCTAAAAGTTTGCATTTTTTCACAAACTCATCGTCAAGGTTGCACCAATCAGCAGACAAAGCAGCACAACCAAACCAAGAGCCAAAGCAAGGTGGGAAGTCTAACATCAAAAATGTAAAAAAGTGTAATCTCATGGAAATTTGAAAACAAGGATATTTGATTATCAAAGAAAAGCCACTAACTCTGTTACTCAATCGCTGTCAAAAGCTTAGTATCTTTTTTAATTATTACACAGCAGCAGAATGCCAGGTGTTAAGTTAATATTCCTCAGAGGTAAATTATGTCCTGCGGCTGGTTTTTGAGCTCTGATTTGACCAGACATTCAAGTATAAAATCTTTTCCTATGATCGTCCAGGATGTAAAGCAGTGCCAACCTCCATTTTAGGGGTTAGATTTTGTTTTTCATTTTTTATTTTTTTTATAAAAATGAGGCTGTTTCCCTTTTTTGTTTTCTTTAAAAGACACATATTTGTCTGAGTTTATAGATAACTAGATGTTGTCACTAGTGGTAGCTTCTTCTTACACCCTGAGCTTAAAGATGGACAACAATAAATCAATCTAGTGTTAAGTCGGATTTTCTGATAGGCAGTATTTCATTCCAGCTTTTTTTTCTCTGCTCTGTCTAGACAGCTTAGTTTTCACATTTTAAAAGAGTATCATACCTTACCCAGAGCTCCATAAAAAACATTTCAATGCATCACCTGAACCTGCTCCATCCTAAGATCTTAAACATGGTAACTCTCTGCCCTCAGACAACTTCTACGGGACACCGAAACCTCCAGCGGAGCCGTCCCCGGCAGCCCCTCCTCTGAATGTGAGTGAGGCCTTGCTTCCTGGAGCCCGGCCGAGTGCCCAGGGCAAAAGAAAGAGGAATCAGTCGGTTAGCAACATGGAGCAGCGTGCCAGCCTGGAACCTCCTGAAGAGGAGGAGGAGGAGAGCCCAGTTGTCAATGGCAACGGGGTGGCCATCACACCAGGTACGATCACTGTGGAAAATGCTCTTTACATGTGTTGTAAAATGTTATCCTTCTTTTCCAACAAAAAGTAATACTCACTTCTAAATTGGTATTAAAAATGTAAAAACTTGACTAATACTAATCTAAAAGGTAGAACTTTTTGTTTTTTGTATTTCACACTCACACTTAAAATCCCCAAATGAAGTTAAATTTATTCCTTTCAGAATTCCTTTAGATATTGTTAAATCTTATTTTGGTGTTGATCTGTGTAGGCCTAAATTAGGACATACATTAAGAACCAGCATCGTATCGACCAATGAGCACCCCGCTCTGGTTGGGAACAGGGAGAAGTGTAAAACACGGTTATCATCTTTCTCAACATCCTGAAGCATTGACAGTTCAATTCCTCATCTGAAAATGCAAAGTGCAGGACTAAACTGCAAATCTACCAAAACATGTCCAACAAAGCAGATAATTAAAGGAGAAGTCAATGGAGCCTTTGTAATTATGTAGGATCTTCAGGAATCTACAGTTCAAACTGAATGAGTCTATGGAACAACACTTGCCAAAGTCCCTAGCAAAGTTTTGCATTTTATGCAAATGCTTAAAAAATAAAAGAACCATTGTTAAGGGACAAACAAATCAAAAAATTTTCAGATTGCCACGAGCCATGTAGGGGACACAGCAAACATGGTGCTCTGAGGCCCAATTTATAAAGCCTGTCTGTGCAAACCTTTGATGCAATGTTTTACGCAAAAAAAAAGTCTGCTGCAATCTATGCAAACTTTTGACCTACCTCGAGAATTTTCTGGGTTGAACTTTCTAAATCCACAATAAAGGCTAAAAAGTACTCGAACTTACTCAATAAAATTGAATGTGACTGTTCACTTAATTCACTAATGGAGCATCCAACCTGATTATTTCCATCAAGTTTGAGCTTGTATGATTTAAACTTGGAAACATTTATCCTCATGCAACTCCATAATACACCTAAGAAAATTTAGAAACATCCTTAGTCAGATGTAAACTGTAAATATATTTTGGTCATGGAAATTCACACAGGTCCATGCACCAAAGAGAATAAACTTCAAGTTCCTGAAAAGGAAACTTTCATTCTAACAAAGAGGAAGTTGTGAATCCGCATATTCATTCCAGACAAGTCAGATATGGCGATTAATCAAGTGATCAAAGTGTAGACAATCATGCATGCCCATAAATAGCTGTGTCAAGGCATGCATAATTTTGCAAGCCAACGTCAAAAAAGGACATTAGGGAACCATGTGTCTCCTTTTCAGTTCAAGATCTAACGGCCCCTAGGTGTTTTTTTTAGGAGCCATCGATTGTCAGATTGGGTATTAGACAGTCACCCCAAGCCACATCTTTTTTCTCAGATGTATAAGATTCTCCAAAAATATATTTAGCTAGTTACCTGCCTGGGATCTTTCTGCATGGAGTTTGCATGTTCTCCCTGTGTATGCGTGGGTTCTCTCCGGGTACTCCGGCTTCCTCTCACAGCCCAAAAACATTACTGGGGTTAATTGGCTTCTCTAAATTCGCCCTAGGTGTGAGTGTGTGTGTGTGAATGGTTGTTTGTCCTGTTTGTCTCTGTATTGCTCTGCGAACTGTCCAGGGTGTGCTCTGCTGAAGATAGGGACCAGCACTACAGGGGAGTTTTGGAAGGAAACCAGTTAGTCGGTGGAAGCTCACTTTCCTTTAGAGTGATCTTTCTAAACAAACAGTAAAAACTGCAATAGATAGGCTTAAATCACAGGAATATTCATCACAGGTCTGCCTAAAAAACTCGCTAAAAAAGCTCAAGTTGATCCAAAATGCTGCTGCCTGCATCCTCACCAATACTGAGAAAGTGAATCAGAGTTTTGAACCATTACACTGGTTCCCTGTCTATCAGAGAATAGATTTTAAAATTCTTCTATTAGTCTATAAATCACTACCTGATTTAGCATCAGAGTAGATTACAGACTGGTTTTCACTGTATTAAACCCCCAGACCTCTCAGGTCTTCTGGCTCTGATTTACCCTGCATACCCAGAACCAAAAATGGGGAAGGAGCTTTTAGTTGTTATGCATCACTAATCTGGATTAAAACTATAATGACTCTGAAACCCTAAATTGCTTTAAATCCATATTAACAGCCATTTGTTTAGTGTGGCCTTTGATTATACTACCCTAACATAATTAGTTTTAAGGCCAAATTTTCTGTCGCTTTTATTTTATTTTATTTATTTATATTTATTCTCTTGAATTACGTGTTACATTTATGTCATTGAAATATACTTTTCTCTTTCTTTGTTTTCTTTTCCTCATGTATAACACTAGGAATTGTCCTGCTACCTAAATTTGCTATAGAAATAAACTTGCCATGTGTTAGAGCGACCCACTCATAGTCCAGAACTAAATCCATCTGAAATTTCATTGATTCAGGGGACCATCTACCTAGAGTTTAAAACCCAAATAATTATTTTTCTTTTATTATAAAGAAAAAAATATATATATTTCCTTCACTTCACTTTGGTTTGATACTGCAATCTATTACACCTTTCCTTTTTTTCTTTTATATAACGCTGGTTCACAACACATGCCACCTTTTTGGTTTTATTTTATTATTCAATGTTTTATGTGTTCTTACAAAAGAAAGTATGTTGTTTTTTTATAACATCGTGACGGCATTTTATATTTTGTGGTTCAGAGTTCTGGACTGTATTTTGTTATGGCCCCACCGGTATGATTGAATCGAACTGGAGCAACAAGCCAGTTGTTATTGCAGTTGTTACCTATCCTTCTTACTGTCCCCTAGGGTAAAAACCAGCTCTCTTCTCTCCTGCAGCCCACTGTCACGTCTGTAGCTCAATCAGCAGCTCCAACAAACTGCACCCCGAGCAGTTGTAACAAATGTTAACAGACTCTGCTAACATGAGTGTGAACTGCAAAGGTTAACAGTAACCTTATGTAACAGAATGAGCAAGGGCACCTTAATGTCTCCATTTTTAGTCGCCGGCTGGAGTCTCATAAAAGCTTTGGCTCCTATCTTTCTATCCTCTCATTTCTCCATCTCTCGCGTTGTCTTTCTGTCACTGGCTTTTGTCCTTGTTGCTATTAATACCAAAATCGTCACTCTCTTTCTTCCCCCTCACTTTCCTCGACCTCTTGATTTTTTTTCTTCTTATTTTGTCCCTGTGGCCCTGTCCTTGCTGCCCCCACTCTTCCTCCTTTTTTCCCAATCTGTCTTTGTTGTCCCTTGTTCAAGGATGGTGTATGTAGATTCTTGCCTTTTTTAGTTTTTTTTTTTAGTAATGTAGATCATAAAAATACATTGTTCCTTCAGTTGTTGCGTTTCATGCAAACTAAGTTTCTTAACTGTAAAAAAGTATTGACAGGGGGAAAGTTTTAAGCACAAAAAGCCTATATGAAGGTATAATTACTCCTCTTATGAAAATAGAATAAACAATGAATTACATGATTATTGTTTTACATTTATTAATTTAAAGTTACCAGCCACACTCAGGCCTGGTTATTAGCAGACTTCCGGAATCAAGACATTATTTCAGTAGAACCTTTCTCACAACATGAAGTAGACAAAAAAGCAAAGCGGAAAAAAAAGCAAAACTGGATCATGCTTAAGAAATTCAGGAGAAGATGGCAAATTTATCATTTGATAAGGCTATATAGGTATTTCTAGAGTTTTATTTTTGTTTTAGTTTATCAATGTTATCAACCATAATTCTCAATTGGGGAAAATATAGAAATGTTGACTCATGTTGAGAACATTGATGACTCATCTAAGAGGTCAGCAAAGAAAAAAAATCATTTGACAAAATCCAAAACACAAGAGGTTTGACTTGCCTTAGATAAAATTTGTCATAAACGCCCAATCGCTGACACTTTGGAAGGTGAAACACAGATAAGTTCAGAACCAGACAGGTACAAGATCCAGGAGTCCAAAGCCCGACCAGAGGTTCCAATCCAAACAGGAACAGAAAGATCCAGGGTTCCAGGAATCCTTAGAGTGTTCAGGCAGGTTCAGAGTTCTATGAGTCCAGCAGTGTGCTCAGACAGACATGCTCAGTTGGAGACAGGCAGGATCAGTGTTAGAGGAACATAGACAAGACATGGTACCAGGATAAATGCCGAACTTTAAACTGGTCTCCTCCTTGGAGCCAGAAAAAGATTAAACACTCTAAATCTACTAGCCTCCGGAGACGGGAACATGAACCTGGGACTTAACTAAAACTCATAAATGGCATGAGTATCTGACACGACATCATAACACAAACAAACTAATACACAAATAAACTAAGAAATAATGATCTGGCCCCGATAGCAGGGCTGAACCGTGAAGAGCAGAAGGAGCAGTTGAATAAAATAAGTAATTAGAGAGCGGGGAGGCAAGAGCAGGTGAATGAAGTGAGTAATTAGATAAGCTACCTGGGCTGCGATTATGACAAGATTTATGTTCATTGTTAAGCACTAATAAAAAAACTGGACTAAAATGGTACCCATGAGAGAGTTGTGAATAATAACAGTAAGGCCGTTCTTCCTCCACAGTGATGTAATCTTTTACAAACTCTTGATTAAGTTAGTTACTGTCTATGCTGTTGTTTTACATTAGGATTTAGTTGATGATCTGATACATGTGCGTGACAAAGATCCAGCATTATTGTAGTAAACATTTTTTTCGTGATCTCCAAACTAAGAAATGTTCTCATCTGCAGCTTCAAAAACACCATTCCACCAGCTTTCCTCTTTCCTCTGATAACTTCTCCTTGAGTTTGTGACTCAGTCTGACCCCTATAGTTTCTGCCTTTCCCTGTTTTCTCAGTTTCTGACATTTCTATGTTGTTTTATGTTCGTGCTGATTGTGCTCCGACTGTCCCCTCGCCCCACTCCCTCTCTGGCTGCCTGTGTCTCCTGGGGCTTCATAGCTCTGCGGTGGCTCGCCTCTGACTCATCATGCACTGTTTGTGTACTGTGCCCTCGTCTCTGCATGTGTATTTGAGAATACGTCTGTGTTTTGTGCTTCACAGAGTCCAGTGAACATGAGGACAAGAGCACAGATGCCTCTGGGGAGGTTGCAGCGGAAGGGTCCAGCCAGGCCCCAGCATCATCGGAGCCTCCGACTGAAGGAGAAGAGGCCCCAAAATCCCCAATCAGATCCCCCTCCAAAGTCCCTGATGCAGATGAGGAAGAGCTGGGTCCTCTGCCTGACAACTGGGAGATGGCCTACACAGAGAAGGGAGAAGTTTACTTTATAGAGTATGTGAAATTTTTGTTCACTTAGACTTAAATCATTTTGCTTCAACTGTAGTTTTAGTCATTCTCCTTTAAAGAAATTGTGTAAATTTATGGCAGTCAAAAAACCACAATAGAGAGAACAGCATGCATGTACATTTCTTAAAGGAAATATGAATTGAATATGAATACAATGCAATGTTTTTAATTGAGCTGTGAAGGTAAGTTTTGTAGAGTATGCATAAGTGGATAATTTCAAGGCAGGCGTTTAAGCTCACAAAGATGCAAGTATACCATAGAAAAAGCAAGCAGAATTTTTTAGTGGTGGGCCGTTTTCGGTGTTAACGTCCTGCGTTAATGTCAGACTCTTATCAGGCAATAAAAAATATAGTTAATCTATTCTCACAGTTGGTTTGGGAGCTTGGTCTATACTAATGATGACTTTCACCTTGATAGTTTAGCATAGATATCTATCTTGGGGCGGGAACAAATTAGTCTTCCAACCTTTGTAGGTATACTGTGAAATTACTACATTGAACGTGACGTGCTGAAATGATGAAGCTATAAGCACAGTTCTATCAGCCAAGCTAACCAATCTCCTCGCTCAGTGGATACCCACAAGCTCCCAGCCAATCAGCGTGGCTGATGGGCTCGAGCTCGTTCTCCAGGCGGCCACAGGTGACCCATCTTACAACCTAACTGTGAGGTGAACTATCATGAGGAGAATACATGACCAGCGTGCCGCGGAGAAAGCCGCAAAAGATGAGAAGTTGATCGAGGTGAAGTGTGTGTCACCACTATATTGTTGGGGGACATCTAAAATTGGAAATGGGACTCTCCATGTTGTGCAGCAAAAATCAAAATGTCAAAATCTGTCAAAATTGTCAAAATCTTAATTAAGAAGATGAAATTACATGTGAGTTTGCAAACATAAAAAGCAAACCTTTTCTTTTAAATTCTGGAGGTATCACACACATATCGTGAATGCCTTTGGCAGAATTCAAATGAGGGATTTTAATCTAGATTAAACTAGATTAATTCACTTATTACAGTGAGATTTATCTAGATTTTCACCACTAGTTTTTATACATATTTAAATTTTTTTGAATTGGTAATTGCACTCAAAAATGAAGAAATATTTTTAAAAAGCATTAAATAAAAAACATTATTTTGCAAGTCAGCCCAGAATGCAGCCAGAAGTTGGTGAAAATGATAAGATTATGGTTTAGATGGCAAATTTAAGGATCAATGCTTTATATAATGTCAATCCAGGAAAAAAGCATTAATACCAGAATCTGGAGAAAATTATTTTTTTAAGTTTATAAAGTAAAGATTTGTATTGTACATTTATCCAGTAGGAGAAAGAAGTCAGAACAACAGCATTAACTTGGATTTACTGAGGTAATAGTAACCAGGGTAATTAAGCCCCAGGACATTCTGCTTTAGAAAAACTGCAGTACACCTTCAGTCCAGCAGGTGGCAGTTACAAGAAAATGCAAGTGGTTATCCTTTAAGTTCCAGTGCAGCCATTGTTTATGCCTGTCACTCCCCGAGCTTTACCATTAGAACGATCCGTACCATCAGCTCATCTGTGCATACACATCCAGAATACATCCTAGTTTCTATTGATCGCACCCAATGAAAAAAAGAAAAAGATTATAAGACGTGTACTATACTACAATGTATAAAGTCTTAATAATGACTTTACTGGGAGGATAAATGTGTTAAATCCTTACTTTTACATCAGTTATATAACAATCTTTCCCAAAAATGGGATTCTACTCTTCTTTCAGCAGCAATTTTTTTCAGCCTTGGAGTTAAAAATAATTATAGTAATTTGGAGATGTATGCGGACTGGCGACCTGTCCAGGGTGTACCCCGCCTCTAGCCCATTGACTGCTGGAGATAGGCACCAGCACCCCTCGCAACCCCAATTGGGACAAGCGTGTTAGAAAATGGATGGATGGATGGATGGATGGATGGAGATGTATGCGTATATATAGTCCCCACTCCTACAGACTGCCACTCTGGGTCTCTAAGCAAGACCCTTAACCCCCGATTGATCCCCAGGTGCCACACAATGGCAGCCCACTGCTCCCCAAGGGGATGGGTTAAATGCAGAAGTAAATTTATCCAATGTGAGATCAATAAAGTTAAATTATTAGTAGTATAATTCTCTCAGAAATGGTGCTAGGGCTTTTTATGCAATGTAGTTTAGCATTCTTTGATAATCTCTGGATGGAAATTTCTACTTTCAATACCACTATTACATTATTTATGTTCACCTGGATGAATATCTGCTTTCCCATGCACAATGGAGCTGATGAAAGGGAATCAAACTTCTGTTAGTGATGGAATGGGAAAAAACCTTAAAAGAGGCAGTTTTTTGTTACTTCTACTGAAAAATAATGCTACATGACCAGCTTAAGATTTATGCATTTAATTTATTTTCTTAGTTAAATGTTTCCCTTGGTATTAAAAGTATCACATTTTATTTTTTGTCAGCCTTCATCTAATGAGAGTTAATGCATTATAACTGCATATAAAATTGATATACACTTATATTGCTTTCATTATAATAATACAACAGGTAAATCTCAGATATCTTCAGAACAAACAGAAAATAATTTTACACAAAATTGTATTCATTTAAACAGTCTGCTCATACAGAGAATTGATATATCTTATATCATTATGAGGAAATATTTGTTCTAACTAGAAATTGTCGACAGTGGAAACAACGAAGACAGGACTTCTCTGAAGGCTGCATCCAAACTGTGGTTTCTCTATCTGCTGTGCAGTCAAGATAAAACCTAGAAAAAAAAATCTATAAAATTATATAAATAAAGGTGTTCCAGTCCACTGAGGTATGTTTACATGGAAGAATTCAGAGAATTTCCTTGTACAAGGAAAAGTAAAAGTTTCATTATTACTCCAAAATATTTTACTAAACTGCAGCTAACCAGTTTATAGCTACATTATCTATATCTACATTGCATTAATAAATGTCATAACTTTCTGGTGAAAATATTAGATTTTATACTCTGGTTCTAGAAGTCTTTATCTAACACATAAAGCTTTAGATTTATTTTGAGCCACTACAAACAACACAAAAGGATGCAGAAAATCTGAAGAGATTGCCTGGGGATAAGATAGATTCCCAATGCTGCAGCCTGGTTGGCTTAGCAAACCTAGCAGCCAGAGCAGCCTGTCAGCTCAAGCTCTGTCCCTCCATGAAAGCATAACTAAAAGGAGGATCATAATTTTGTTGAGCTGACTACACAGATAAAGTTTTGAGGTGCACTTTTTCAATAAAAAAACATCTTTAAATTACTTCTTGGGTTAAAATGACCAGAAATGATCAGCTGGCTGGTGAACATTACTGACCTAAAATCCAACTACACATCGCTGCTGAGTCAGCAGAGACACCAGCCTGTTAGCACGGGGCACAGATCTGAAGCCCTGGGAAGTACAGCCTAGGAAAAGTGAAATTAATGGCCACATTTTTATGCTCAGTCTGTCAATTGTGATTTTTTATGGGGGTTTTTTTCACTCCTGTGCCTGACTATTTTAGGTGAGGTGTGTTTTGGTCGTCAAGTCACTTAGCTCCAAACAATGAAGTATTTAAAGAAAAAAAGCACCAAGACACAAGAGTTAAACCACATCACTTTAAGAACCTTACCACCTGCTGGACACTAATACACATTTCTTTCCATCACCTTTGGAAGAGCATATAAAAATCATAAAAAGAAACCTAGTATGGAACATAAATTGATATTTTAGCATTTTATTTCTGTGTGTGTATTTTGAAGCAGATAACTTATTGACGATATTACTGTCCAAAGATTAACACGTCTGCCCAGCCACTCTAACCTTCCCTGTTATATGTTTCAAAAATATGTAGCTAGACAAATGCAATACACATTTTTTTATATCATACAAGGTTCGTTTCCTGTCAGTCAAATAACTTAAGAAAACAACAAAATTTTAATAACTCGTTAATTATTTGTAAAACTACCAATATGCCTCAATTTTTTAAATATAGCTATCTAGTATTCTGTTATAAGATCTGGATATTATATCCTACGTGGATAAAATAGGATGGTTAAAAATAAGCGTAATGTAATGCACCCACTTTAAAGTCATGGTTTATGTATGGCTGTGTGTAAATTTTATAGCTCTGGCCGTTCCTCTTGAATAATTGATGTGACTTAGCACTGCTAATCAGACATGATGCACACACAGAAATGCAGAAGTTTGCATATGTGTGTCTATCCTCTTGTAACACTCTTCTCACCCTTACTAATTAGTAGCTGGAGGCTGATTAGTGGATTAATGGGCATTTGGTTTACCTCAGATATATCCTTGTCTCTCTTCACCTCTGCACACTTGCAGAAACAGGCACATGTATCACATTGCTGTTATTTTTTTCTCTCTTTTTAAACCACTCTGTCAGTCTCTCTCTGACCTCTGTTTGCACTTTTTTTCCCACCCTCTATTATCTCTCTCTGCACCTCTGCTCAAGTCACAACACCAAAACTACATCATGGCTCGATCCACGTCTTGCGAAGAAAGCGAAGCCACCCGAGGAGTGCAGAGAGGACGGTGAGTCTGAAAAGTCTTTTTGTTTTTTTCTTAAAAGCTTAACTTCGTGTTCACGTGAGAGTCAACTCATCTCTGGAAATTTGTGAGCGTATGTTGTTTTCTGGAATTCCTGCTGCTTCTGCACCTGATGCCTCGTTCAAACACATTTTTTCTTTCCTGGAGGATAAGATTGTAAAAACACCCAGCTGTTTGAAAAGTGTGCTGCTGGTCTCATAGTTCTCCAGAGACTTTCATACACTTTTGAAAGAAGAGTTTTGTAAATCTAGACAGAACAAAGTGGAAAAACCAACTCCAACCAGGTAGAAAAGTAATGTTAAGCCACATTTTGACACATTAGAATCTGGAGGTTTTTACTATAGCTGGGTTTCTATTTATGTGTGGCTTGTGAAACAGTTTTAATTTTCTTGGACTGACAAATAAAAGGTAATGAATCATATGATTTCATTGGAGAATAGCTTTTTTTAAACAGGCTATGCTGTTTTAGAAAGGCTATTCCTGGTTTCTCCCCTGGACATTGAAACTATTGGTTAATTTTAGACTCTGTGACTTATGGTTTTAACTTATGGTCTTTGGACAGCAAAGAATAAAATGCAGGACATTAAGCTTAGGTCACATAGATGGTGCTTCTTCATTGATCAATTGCTGTTTTTGCCTATTGATTAAAAAAAAGGCATTTCTTTATCCTCATCATGTTAATTAAAGTACTGCTAGATACATGGCTACATCAAGCAGAGCAATTTAAGATTAAGATATTTTTCTCTATCCTAGCCATTGATCAATAAATTGGTTTGTAAAGTGATTCGCTTAAGCGAATCAGAACATCTTCCATTCATGTTTTTCATCTGTTCATTCATCTTTACCCTCCATGGTAGCTCAAATCTTTCTCCATCTTCCGTTTTCAGTTGAATTTTCTACTCCATTTTTGTCTTCTCCCCCACATTCCCCCTACATCTCTCCCAATCTCGTCCTTTGGGCAGCACAGGGCCAGGCTGTGACGGGAATTCTAATGACCCGAGTCAGCTCTGCATAATCTGACTCTTACTCTCCCCCTCTATGCACAAATGCTAAAACAGACAGAAAAAACATGTGGATACTACTACTTACACTGAATAGATATTTTGTGTCTAAATACAACAATACTCATAAGGCTCCTGCATTTTTAGTTTGTGTTTGATTAAAGCTATCTATTTCCTTTTCCCTGAAATGTTGCCACATTTGTATAGAAAATATATTTGTAGGTTTGGTAACAGAGTTGACTGTATGTATTGGTCCCATTAAAAATCTGACCTAATCAGTAGTAGAGTTGTAAAAAGAAAAAAAGAAGGGGGATGATGGATTTTTTTTTTGGAAGCATACATAGCCTAATTAATTTAGGTTATTAATAGTCTAATAACCTAAAGCAATATGCATGGTATGGTTGTACATGTCAGGTACCCCAGCATGGCTATCACTGCCCCTACATAGTTAAGGACTAAATCTCTACTGGGATCAGCTTTATAGTAATGGTAGGACACTTCTTGGATTTTACTTTGGAAAATCTATTGGAAATGAATCCATTAAGATTTAAAACAAAACATTGCAAATTAATATCTGAATCCTTTCAAGTCTAGTATTTTTTTTTTAATTCAAATTCATTTAATTAATTTGAAACAGCTGAAATAATTTTCAAAATCTGAAAAAAACTTCTTACAAATTTAAATACCGGTACATTAAAATTTGTCTGAAAATGAAATAAGCCTTTATAAAATCTAATAATTTTACTCACCTTATAAATAGTCATTTAGAGTATTTATTTTATAAAATAGACTATTTACCAGAAAATTAGTATTGCTTCTATTGGCTAAGTTAAAGTAAGCTAGGCTACATGCTGGCAATGAATGATTTTAAACTATTCTAACAGGTCCGTCAAACTGAAGCTATTTATTTTAATTTAAGCTATTTATTTTATTTATATTGATCGGACAACAGGCATTCTGCAAGTCACAAGAGTGCAGTCAGATGTCAACATTCAATTCATTTATGACCAGACATTAACATCACATTTCCGTATCTCTATAACGGGTCTGTATTATATGTGTATGTGTCTTCTCAATTCAGAGGGCCCCATGCCTGTCTTTGCCTAGGGCCCCAAATTTCCTAAAACTGCTCCTGCTTCGATTATCTCCTCCGGGTTTCATCTGGTGTCAAATTACCTCACTGTCGCTTCGTCCTAAACTCATGCCCATTGATGAGAAAACGGATTAAAATATGAACAAAAAGGGAAATATTGAACATATTCATCATGTTTTCACATTTCTTATACATGGATGCCTTAAAATTGATAGTTTTGGTGGACAGATAAATTGTAAATTGTAAACTGTACAAATTCTGTATGGAGACACGTTTCAGTCGATGTGCTACAGTCAGTGTGCGATGAATAAATTCTCATATTTTCCTATCAACACAATTCTAGATAATTTCTGACACTTTGTTAAACTTATAACCTGGAACCTGCCAAAGGTTCCCTCCCCTCCTTATTTTCACATTTATTGTCCCAGACTTATGAAACTCATACCACAATCTTAGAGAGCAGGTATGATTATGTGGGGAAACTTGCATAATTATAAACACATTATTTCTAAAACTAAGCAGGGGAGGGAGATCACTGCAACTTAGAACCTGGAACCTGCGGAAGATTCCCTCCCCTCCTTATTTTCACTTTCACTCAATCTCGTTGGCTACTCGTAAACACACAGCCCATCAAATGTTGAAAGGGCAATATTATTTCCATTACTGCTGATATATAATAGAAATGTACACATTCAGTGATACAATGCCACAGGGGATGGTATGGGGGGATGGTCATTTAAGAAGGGGGATGATTTTTAAGATTTTTTTAAGAAGGTGGATGCCATCCCCGCTCAACTCAAGTACTGGTCCTAATCCTCTCTGTCAATGCTTCTGTGGTTTCTTAACTTTTCTAAGCATTTCAAACCCCAGGTGCTGATAAACAGATGATCAATGGATTCCTGGTTATCATTGCCTGTTAGCGTTATTCTGATATAGATGTTTATTGTGGTTTTATTCAAGCAAAACAAATTTGACTGATTTTAATTGGACCCCAACTGTAGGGCAAATTCAAGGGGATTTACATAACAAATATGCAGCACTTTTAGATTTATCTGCAAATTAAAGGTCAGGTTCAAGGTAATGAAGGACATCAAAGAAAGGTTCCAAGGTTGGTGTCCCAAGCAGAATTCTTCTTCATAAGACTATTTCCTCACCCTGTTAGCACATAGGAAAAAAATAAAATCTAGAGATTTCCCTTCAAGATTCACAGGGTGACATGGCTGATACCTTTTTTCATGACAAGCCAGCTGAATTTGGGAGTGGAGTGGTTGAACTGATCTGCCTGCATTCCTGAAATGAACTCAAATTTATCCAACAAGCATCTCACACAACTAAGTCGGCAAATTTTTGATCAAAGCTGTTTAAAGAAATGACATGTCTTCCCTTAGCAATGGGTGACCAAGCATCTGAAGGACGTATGAGGCTATTATAGGGAGGCTGTGTATGGCTCTTCTACACACCTCTGATAACCATTGTTTAAATACATTGTTAAATAACAAATAAGCTGTTAAAGGTTTTTTTTTTTTTTGTGGTGAAAGTTATATTATCCAATTAAACAAAGGAATCTTTTTAGGATGGCAGAGCTAATTTACATCACCAATAATAAAAAAAGACTAAACACAAACTATTGACTTAAAAAAAAAAAGTATAGTTTGGTCAAGCATTTGTGCTCATAGAGCCTCTGATTAGCTCACATCTAGAAGAAACATACCTACAGTTATTTTTCTGCTCTTTCAGCATTAAGATACAAAATCAAAAACATGCTCGACAACTATTTGACTCAGCTATATTTGGTTGATGCATCACTGAAATGTGTAATTTATTTTATTTATTCTGAAAGCTTCTCAAAGAGATTAACAGCGAGCATAGAGACAGCTTCATCTACCGTGAAGACACCTTTTGATGTATTTTAGGCTTTTACCTGCTGAAAGGAATCAGAAATCTTCTCAAACAATAATGTATTAAACATAATAGCTCACCTCCTGGTCTATTAAATTGCTCCTTGTCTCATTCATCTTGCTCTCTTAAGCATCTAACCTAACAGCTTTGTTTCCTGGTAAAAAAAACAGGGCATGTCTGGTGTACATAAATGTTCAAGTGGTCTTTTTATGTTAGAATAGACAGATATTGTCTCAGAAGTGGTGCTTTAACTGATAGATGAAAACTTTTAGCTTAAAGAGACACAAAACCACTGAATCAAACGTGTTTGCATGCAGGAAGACGCTTTCCTTTCTTTTACCCCTTTCTTTCTTTGAAGTCGATTTGTCTTTCTTACCTTTCGGTTTCTGTGTTTATGTCTTGGGGGATAGAGCCGTTAAAGGAACTTATTTCTCTAAGCCGAGTCTGCTGGCAGAGGATTTTGAATCAAAGGCTTTTCGCTGAATTTTTGTGAAGCTCCTGGATGACACACTACATCCTCGTACCGCTGCCTTGCATTCCCACCTTTTCATAGTGAGTTGGTTTAAACACTGCAGCAGCCACAAAGATTTGTTTTGGGATTTTGGTTCGTCATCATCAGATTTTTTTTTTTACTGTTTTTTGGTTTTTGTTTTACAGGCTGTTTTGCTAGTTCTTTTGTTTTGTTTCTCTGATTTAGCAATTGTGAAGAAAACATGTCGAATGTAAAAAAAAAAGTAGACTGAATGATGTAATAAAAGTGAAGAGGCAACATAAGGAAGTAGTAGTGCTGATTTTAAATGCCCATTGCCTGAAGGATTTCTTAGTCTCACAGCCTGTGGTAGGAAGCAGACAGATATGCAGGAATACTTTCATCAGTTGCTGGTTTCCTTTACCCTCTTGTCATTCCCTTTTTGTTGCCTCCATCTCATGCATGTCTGCTCTTTCTGCTTCACTTTCCTTCGGCATCTCAAATCCTGATTCTGTATTCTCTTTCTCCTGTTGTGGTCTCCCAGGCCTCTTTTGCTCCCATGCTGTATTTTGGTAAAAAGAAAGAAGTTTATTTATTTATAAAGGTCCTGTATCTGTGTACTGATGTGAGTATATATATATATATATATATATATATATA